TTGTTCATATTTAGAGTGACACAAGATCAAGATAGCAGAAAGCCCGAGGACCAATATGGGTACTTATATTGATTGTGATTCTGATCCTGATTACTTGGCTGAGATAATAATGTGTACAGTGAAATTATTGTCTTGATGAAGGTGATGAGGCAGTAAGTCACAAGAGGAAGTTATTTTTAAAACAGCCAAGAGGCACTCAGGCAGATGAATGCAAACTCTATGGTGGAAACAAAGAATATGCAACGCCTTTAGAAACTGTCTTACTTGGGTACCAACCTTTCTCGATGCTAGTGCACCTATCCGAGTGCTTGATCTTTCTCGTCTACATGATAAAAGCATCAGATCACACACACATATAGGAAGCAGCTGCTGTATATTGTATATCCAAGTCTCTTTTTCAAAATGCCATTAGCTAATCCTAATAAGAGCCTCATTCTGCTGTGTGTGCTAAAAATGCCCGTGCCTCTGACTGCAACTTTTGAGTAATCCTCTATCCTCAAATGCCTGAGTCGCAGTGTGAGCGAAGGTGCAGACGAAACAGTGCGAGTGCACGCGCGTGTGTGAGTACTTAAAACACGTGTATGCAAGTGTTTATCTCCATTCGGACTGGGATTAATCCTCCAGCGTGCATCAGTGACGCCACCATGCAAAACGGCAATAACATCTACGGGGCCATGCTGGCAGCGGTCGCTACGACGACTGATCCTCCTCGACAACAGTGTGGGGGAGATTAGGTATGACAGGCACGGGCAGCTTACCGGACAGGAGCTCATCTCTAGCGTGTGTCAGTGTGTGTGTAGTTGTAACTTTTTAGAACACAAATAAAAGGAGGGGTAGGAGAGATGAGAAAGAGGAAAGAAAAGCTAGACAAACAGACATTATGTGCTAAAATTACATCATTCCCAGCTGTTCCCTACGCAGGAAGAGAGAGGAGATGATAGATGGACTACAAATCCTTCTGACGAGTTGCATTGGAATACATGGAATTATATATTGAACATTTAGATTAAAAAGAACATCCACATGCTGGTTTTTATTAAAATAATGTATTTTGGAGATGTGAGTTTGTCGAGGATTGCATGTTTGGGACGTTTTATAGTCAGTCAAGCACAAGTTTTCAAGTCCAACCAACCTACCTGTCAGTGCTCAGTGAGGCACCTGGCTCTTTAACTTCACTCCACCAACTCCATTCAGGCACTGACAAAACAGTCAGTGGTGTGAGGACTCGTTCAGACAAAAGCACAGTGTAAAGCTGTTACAGGTAAACCTTCGGTCAGCCTGATACATGAAGTTGTACCATAATTCTGATATTGGCCAATCAGTGACGCTCAGCAGCAGTTCACATGATTACACATACAGAAGGTAAAGTAAGTCATAGAACCACACCAGCACGATATCTGGCCCGCGATAACGACAGCATCGTAACACATGTCATTTTGCATTGCACGACTTCTCTCAATATAATTGTGAGTATATAATTAAAGTATATAATTGTAATACATTATAATATCTGTGTAAGTGATGAGGAAAATGTACCTGCTGGCACACACTGTATGCAAAAAGAGAGACTGCAGAGCACTAAACTGCAGCAATTATTATTTCATTAGCTGCATTTTATCTATATTTGACTTTATTCTCAGACTACACTTAGTTTATTATAGTTAATTGTAATGTTTTTTATCTATGGATATTATGATGATTTAATGATGATTAATGCTCAATCAATTCAGCTTATTTTTCAATTCTAAAAGTTCATTACTTAGACCTTTCTTTACCTTAAAATGTTTTAATTATGCTCAAGCATTGATATACATCCAACATCAGTCGGACACACAGTCAGCACACACACACACACACACACACACACACACACACACACACACACACACACACACACACACACACACACACACACACACCCTCAATGCCAAAAAGCTATAAACTGGCACTTCAGAGTTTAAAAGTGTTCGGTTAAAGAAAAGAAAGCATCGCTGACTCTCAAACACTGGAGCCAGAGTATTGATATCATATGACAAGAGATTGTGTCACATATTAAGCTGATAAATACACTGGTACAAAGGCACCTACTGACACGTGACTGTGTTTAATTATTTGTAGTAACATTAGTAATACTTGCAGTGCTATTATCTTACAGGTTTTTTTAGTTTTCGCCTGCCAAAATCTACACACTGCCTCAGAGGTGTTGCTATTGTGCCAAGACAAAAAAAAGAAAAGAAATCTGGCTGGAATACAGAGTACCTGATATTTGTAGTATTTGTTGGCATAACGATCGTGAAATTTGAAGGCATTCAATATCGCAGCACAAAATACTGGCTGTGGGCAGCTTTGGGCTGCATGAGCCTTCAGAAATTCATCTCAGTGTAACACTAGTCATTGTGCAGCAATAAGAGCACCCCCCGCCAGGGCCAGCAGTCAGGATTCAGCCCGTGCATGTTCATATTTGGCAAGAAAGCCAGCTGGAGAGCGCGTAATAGAACTGCATGCATTATGGGATGTTTTCACAGAAGTGTGGGCCGCAGCGGGGCTGTATTAATATTGCATTGAGGGACAGAGAGACTGTGTGTGTCTGTGAGTGTTGAGGGGAGTGAATCATAGCCTTCGGTGACAGCTGCTTCTCCTCTCCCCCAAGGCAGGGGAAACGACATGCATGAAGTGGATCTTCACCTGCACGCGTGGTCAATAAATTAGCTGCTAATAGATTGCTTTTTCTGTTATCCAACCTGCCGGAGTGATTCTTGTCAGTTCGATCAAACTAGGCGTTCTCAAAAGCCTTAAATATAGCCGTTCACAACATATTATCTAAGCCTACAAAAGCCCCTCTGCTTCTACTTAAAATTCAGTCTTCGACAGCAAGTTCCTCACTTCTATTTCCGACGCATAGTGCTCAACAGCTCCCACTCATCTCCTCTGCTCTCCTCTCTCCCCTTTCCTCTTCAAATGTTTTCTTTACTTCTCGCCACGCTGCTTCCTCAGTCCTCCCCTCGACGTCTGTCTCTCTTGTGAGCTCTTGAACCTCCAATATTTGTCTAGAGATACTCTGCCATTCTCTCTTATCTTCTCCTCCCCTCTCTGTTATCTCGACTGCCTTCCTTCTAGTAACTCATCTATTTTTCCCGCTTCTCATTTCTGTCCTTATTTCTTAAGAGCGTTCTCGCTCAGTCATCTCTGTCATTGTTTTGACTCATGACACAGTAACAGTCATGACTCCTCTTGAGTAGTCTCAGAGGACCACAGGGCAGACTTGCCCCTTAGATTTAATGAGGAATTCAAAGAAGATAGTTGAAAAGATCCATCTTTTAGAATCGGAGAGACACATGTTGCCCTGCTGCGACAACTGCCCATCAAGAATATTAACCCTGAATCCATTTAGCTTCCACTACTTGTATTTAACACAACTTGACTTTTATCTCTTTAACAGTACGTTCTTCCCTTCTTCTATTCTTTCCTCCATCTGTTTGTCCAACTACTCTCTACTCTTATGAGACCCTTTCATCACCACACTGCATAGGGGTTCAGAGGTCAACAGGCTGCCACTCATGCTATACACACACACACACACACACACACACACACACACACACACACACACACACACACACACACACACACACACACACACACACACACACACACACACACACACACACACACACACACACACACACACACACGTAGAAATCTGTTGGACCACACCACAACTCTAAACAGCAACGCAGCTGCTCAACATGCAACCGGCACAATGGCATGACAGACAGACCCCGCTAAAGGCTTACATACAGCCTGACAAGCTGTAAGGCTCGAGGGCGAGGACTCAGCTAGGGCACGAGCTCGAGGTCGCAGTGCAGTGAGAGGTCATGTGATTACTGTAGTACACCGAGGAAGATATCTGCTAGCAGGCTCAGATGTTTTTAAAGAGAGCGGACCGAGCAGGCCTCAACAGATCAGACTTAAATCACACCAGTACAGACCAGAAATCTATAGTGCATGGACCAGCAAAACCAATATCCAGCAGGCATTACACTGCAATACATCAGACTAGCTGGCAGAGCAACAAAGTCTGTGGTTTAGTGAGAGTAGATCTACTGTGAATGTGGAAAGCTTGTCACAGTCATGATAAAATATCTTCTACTGTTTTTCCATGACTTGAGTTTTCTAGTCAGAAAATCAAGAAATGCATGGAACAAGGTATAAAATACATTAGGCTATATTCAAATGTGGTCAATTAAGAAAGAAACATCATAATAATAATGTCTAATAAATATGTTTTCACCTTTTACTTTTTGGTGCAACAAATTACTATTTGGATTTCAATAATAATATTAAACATGATGACACATTATGTCTGTTCCATTTGCTAATGAAGACCATGAGATGTAGTTAAAAGTCTAAAAAGAAAAAGCTAATAAGTGTATCTTTGAGTTTAGAAAATTATATTAAAGGGTTAGGGAAGGAAAAATGTGTAATCTTGGGCTGTATGAATAAAAAACGTGAAAACATTGAGCATGGGAGTGTGATAGGTAACAACATTACCTTTGAAATACACTTTAATGACCAATAATATTTTATTAATGAAGTGAAGCCTGCAGGCTAGTTTACGCTGTCAACTTGAGTCTGCCACTACACTCAGGTGGCGTACTCCTCTCACTTCCTATATGCAACGCACCCTCGTGATCATGGTGGTGAACTTGAACCGTCAGTGCTCTGCTCACTCTCACTCTCACCGCTGCTGTTTTTCCAAGTAGTCTTTCAAAAGCCCCACCTCAGCATCCACCTGTAAACTCTGAGCCTATGTCCCCTTAGGCCTTATTCCCCACTCCCTGCTGTGCTGAGCTCAGTGTTTCTTTATGGGGAGGTCAGAGCCCAAAATATCAATGTACATATTTTACATTCACACCATCCAGGTGACTTATCTGACTAACCTTCTATGTTCCTATATGAAGCCATCATAAAGTTTACCAAGGATACCAATCAATGCTTACCGTCATGGTTGGGGTTGCCCAGCGTCCACGGCTCATCTGAGTCAAAGTGTGTGTCGCCTCCAATGCCCGGCCCTGGAAAGTAGGCGTGGGCCAGGAAGCCACCCTCGCCGTCAAAGGGCGAGCTATCGCCATGGAAACCTGAAGCAAAGATGATGGTGATGTCCACGTCTTTCTTGGTCCTCTCCAGCTCGCTGTAGGGCACAGCCTCAAAGCGCAGCGGCGTCACGTTTTGCCAAACGTCAAAGGCTCGCCGGATGGCGTCGTGGGTCTCCTCCGCACCCACTTTGGGTGTCACGTTCTTTATGCTGCAGAGGCGTGAGACACAGGACGGAAAAGTTAGACTGTGAAAACACGAGAAGCCTTCGTAAACATTCCACACCAGCAGATCATTTTCTCTTATCATCATGCCCCAGTGAGCCTCAAATCAGGATTTCTCCTTCAACTGTCAGGATGAGCAAATCTATTGTAAATTGGTCGATAAGACTCTTGGGTTCTCCAAGCGATTGGTAAAACAAACACACCTAAGAGTAGCTTATTCTGCTGTCCACGCAGACGAAAAATTAAAGATTAGAATCTAATCAGGCAAAGCAAATAGCCCCCCAACTCCTCTGAAGCACGAGATATGGTGGGATAGAAAACAATACAGTCGGTAAAGTACAACAACACGAGGCCTGTAAACGGAGAATGCTACTGCACGTCAATCTACATGATCACACTGTGCTAAAGAAGAAAAATGCAAAAGAATCCGTCACTATCACTGTTTTCCCTGCATGCTGCTCTTTCACGCTCACCGCGTTCGCCGACAGAGAGCTAAATGGAGCGATTTGTGAGAGAGAACAGCTGAGTCCTCCCCTGCCGGCTTTGAGTTGCTGCAGGTGTGGAAAGGACGGGACGATTTCCTGCCTCTGGAATTTATTTTCTAATTAAGGATTATCAACAGCCCACTACCTGCTGAGAGCCCCAGTCTGGTTTGAGCAATCAGAAAAACCTCTCTCCACTTTATTCGCTCTGAAAATATCTCAGTGTCACGCTCTATTAAAAGTTGGCTTCTCTCTTGGGATAGACAGATAGGTGTCGTTTACATCATCCAAATTAGACGCTTGTAAACACACTATACTCTATGTCTTATGCTTGTAGTGCAGTGTCTGAGTTTGGTGGAAAGTCGGCTGGCTTGTGTTCAGTTTAAATAAAGTGGCACAGGAGAACAGCACTGTGCCAGTTTCTTCTCGCTCAGGTGTTTCATGTTGTTTCAGGAATTCCCTTTTTTCTCCTCCCATCCACCCTGCCGCCTTGGTATACTCTCTGTCATCTCCTTTCCTTTGTTCCCTGTTTCACTTTACTTTTTACTTCTTCTCTGTTTGGCTGTCAGGTTGTAATTTTTTCCATAATAGGAAAAAGTATTATCAGAACGTCTTTTGTCTTTGACTATTGCTCATCGTCGTCGGACTGCTGCAAGGCACATTTATAAATGTGGATTAATATTGCATGTAAACTCAGATTAATTATTGACTCCAACTCAGTGAAAAGGGAAGCATAAAGGCTGGTTATGAAATATAAATAGAGTGCCACTGAGTAACCTGCAATGTACATTTTAAATGTTGTAATTGGTTAAACCACAAACTGCTTCTGTTTCTCTATCGGCTCTGTAAAGACTCACTCGCTGACAGCTGACTACCACTTTAGCGAAGATGTGTTTGCTTTAATTACGCTCTCACAACTTTTGGGAAAACTTTCACTTTCAGCTAATGACTTTCTGCTTTGACAGACCTGAGCCCTGCGCACACACACACACACACACACACTGTTTGTTTACAATTACAACAATTCATCAGAAATGTCTTTGATGGAGGCAGAGCTTTAGGTGGCATAAATGATGGATTAAATAGTTTTTATAGTTGACAGCAGGTAGATCTGCAAAAATATTTTATATATATAATTAATAATTAAATAATAAAATAATTAAACTGGTCTGTTTTTGGACAGGTGATGATCACCTGTAACCTTGTGTGGCAGCTGGACTCACAAGATCACAAAATCCCTGGATCACATGAGAATCCATCTTGCTAGGTTACAAGCTACGTTCTTGTGTCTAACCCCCAGACCAATCAGCATCCAATGAGGAACTGCTAGGTTAAACGTGTGTGCTAAAGAGGATAGCATAGATGCGGCTAGCACCAGTGACGTCAGAACTGGTGTATTTATTTCACTGAAAGAAGAGCAAAGAACGGGACTGAAGGATTTTCTTGACGGAAACGATGTTTTCTCTCTTCTCCCGACTGGCTTCAGTAAGAGTTTGACTGGATTATATGGTTCACTGATCTGATTGGCTGAAGTTCATCAGTGATAGACAGATGGTTCATCCAATCACCTGCCAGCCCTTTACCAAACAGTTTCCAACAATAACTTCCCAGATCTGTGTAACAAACCATCTGGCACATACTAAAATGCTCAATGGAGCTAACAGGAACTGGGTTCTAACTCTTTGTTATTGTTTGTCGCTACGAGCAACAGGTTTTACACACAGTGGGTTGATGCAATGTTAATCTAAAAATACTGATGACAGCAGCTTTAACCGTTAGCTAACCTCATATGAAAAAAATACTGACTATGGCAGGTGAAATAGTTGTTAATGTTACCACATTAAATTGATGGCAGGTGAGCATATATTATCCCTATATGAACCCTGTCATAATCAACAAGGTCACAAGCTGAAAGCAAAAACAACCCTGTTTGTTTTTCCGATGGTGTGTTGTTTATTTGTGATCAGATAAGTGATATAAATTGTAATGCAGCTTGAAAATTGTGTTTGTCCTCAATTGCCCTACAATAAGTGTGAATACTAAACGCTCACGTCTCAAGATTTGCCAGTACTCCTGAATTACAGAAAGAATCTTGAACATCAATTGAAGTGGTGTGTGCTGGTTCGCTGTTAAGTAAGCAAACAGGCTGCCTGATTTAGGCCACTTATGGAGGCAACACAAAATGGCACTTTTGTATTTTGTAGTGCTTATGTAGAGCAGATAGAGATACGCAAGTACAAGCGTGATAAACACAAGGAAACAATCCCGCTTTTAAATCAATGTCAGTTGACCCAGGGAGTCTACAAAATGGTACAAATGTTTTCACCGGGATTAAAATGAAGAAAACAATTTGTAGTACCTCCAGGGTTCTCTGTGAATACATGTCCCCTTCCTGCTCTGTTGGGGGTTACAATGAAAGGCCTTCCCAACAACTGTGGCCTCTTGAGGAATAAAAAGATTCTTTCATTTGATTCTACAACCCATCTCACTGTATGTGAGTCCTATTCTAAGGGCAAGGCGGATAGAGAGGGAAACACAGGCAGGGAGAAAACTGCAAAACGACAAATGAAAGAATCCCCACCTGCTTTGGGGCCATATTAAATATTAAACTCCATGTTGTGAGGTGATAATGATTCCGGATGCAACTCTTGTGCTATAATAGTACCTGCATGCAGGGAGAACAGTAGGGATGCCAAAGCTAATTAGTGCCTCCCCACAGCAAGTACTGTATGTGGCTACATAGAAACCAGCACACACCTAGGGCAGCTATGCATTTGTTATACTTTCCAAATGCCACCGTTGTTTTTTTAATGATTGTTTTTGGACTGTTCAGCTTATAGTTTGAAGGACTAGAGAAGGGGAAGGAAAACTGACAGTCAAGGCCTGGATTCAAGCTCACAATACTGCAGTTTTACAGTTGTATCAATTCAATTATGAAAATGTGACACGTTACATTTATGCAAGCACAGCAAACTAAAACAACGCAGTATTTATCTTTTATATGTTTGGCTGACCAAATAAGGTTTGATCTAACTTATAATAAAAAATGTACTCACTAAGTTAATGGTTGAGATCTGGCAACATGACAAAAAGGCATGGCAAGAGTGGTGGGACAATCAGAAAAGCAGTAAACTAATAGAGTTGGGAGTGGGAGAAGATATTTTGGGCATCCCTGGTCCCGGGAGTAAAAGTCCTATTCATTTTGACAATATAATACAAATGTAATACTCCAAAGAAGACATTAACCACAACTCTCAAGATGCATTTTGGCAAGAAACATCCATTCAAATTAAAATTCTGTTACGTGCGCCACTACCAACTGGTGGAAGCTAAAAATGATGCTGTTGAGAAAACTGACAAGCATTCACTTTTAATTCTGGTTCAACAATGGGTGAATTCTGCAACTATGGCACCAAGTTTTGTTCTGCATTGTTCTGCAACTGTCTCAACAAGGCTCGAGTTCGCTAGCGCTCTGATTCATGCCTATGACTGACCTCTTCTCCAATCCAACGGCGGCCGAGGCATATGGGTACTGTATTATTTATAGCCATGTAGCCATAATAAAGGACAAAATGTCACAGAAACAGATGAAGCGGAAATAATGACAACTGGTGGCTATACCACAAACCAGTGGTTCGTTACATTATCCAAAGGAGTCCTTTGTTTCTGTGTTAAGTAACATTAAGGATATCGTTTGAAGAAAAATTTGTAAAAATGAAAAGGGTAAACAGCATGAGGAAAAACACTTGTGGGCCCAGTGGCCCTTCTGATGTCGCAACTGTAAGAGCAAACAAAGTCAAATGGTAGAATTACCATCAAAACTGTGTTGTTTTGACCTGTGTCCTGGTTCAAATTCGACTGTCCCCTTGTAAAGTAAAAAAAAAAAACATAAGGAAAACAGCCTTTTACACTTTGATAGCCAGTATACATTAGGTAAAAAATGTATTCAAATCATATTATAAAGTTAGAAGTGGGACTACCATCTATTTGTGTATTAACTTTGTAAATAAAGGCTTCCTGTTATTAGTGGAATTGTTCTATGGACCATCTTGTATTTTTGACAACATTTTGATATTAATATGTCAAAATTCTAATAATCATCAATATGGAAATGCGACAACCTTTAAGGACATTATGGTTGTTTTTAGATGACATATCATGTGCTACGTTCTCTATCTCCATTGCATCAATTTGAGTTGAAAGGAGCAGCTGCAGGCACATCTGACTACTGACTGGAGGCCAGGCACACATCCATGTACAACACACACACATATATGCACACACATGAGCACACAAACACACTCAAAATGCTCCCATCCTATTACATAACCCTAATCTGTCAGAGAGCACCCTCTGCTTTCCACTGGGGTTTCCTCCTCTCCTCTCCTCTCCTCTCCTCCCCTCCCAGCTCTTCTCTTTCTCTGTGCAGCTGCTTCTCCTCCAACACCCTCCCTCCACTCCTCACTTTCCTCCCTCTTCAATTCCGCTGATCTACTCCTCCACTCTTCATCAGGCCAGCTCATTTTCTTCTTTTCAAATCCATGCCGTCACAGATGAACCAAGTGCTAAGGAAACTAACTCCAAACCCAATCTTAGTGTTGTTTCTTTTAGAAAGAAAAATGCACAGGCATGAATGTGGACAGTTCTGCCATCAGTGATATATAGAGTCCTACTTACAGCTGTAGGTTACTGATCCACTAGATTATATTCAGCATGTATTACTGCTTGTACATTTATCCTCGGAGCAGAGCAGAAATAAAAAACAAGCACACTTCTTAGGGATTATCTCATGAAACACTGAGCTGGGGGCAAGCGACAATATAGCATGTATAAAATATTACAGAATCTGAGCTACTGACCTCACTAAATCAACAGAGAAATATTATATAACCGCAGCATGTTGTCCTATACATTATTACTCATGTAGCTGAAAATGTTGTTGTGAATTATAAACTGGTGATGGGGTCTCTGGCGCATGCATGGCTCTTATATGTACAGTCTCTCCCCATTTGTGCTACATGTTCTGCTGGGAACATGGTCTGTGTTGTGTATAATGGTTGAGGTTTGGTTTAAAGCAATGTTGAACTTTGATTCAACCTTTTGGTTTTTGTCCACTATGTATGAAAATATTGATGACTGTGTTCAGTAGTTGCTCCGAGTTTCACAAACAGGAATGGGGGAATGTTTAAGCAAAACAAAACATATAAACAGGAACCTATACAGTAAAAAGTTTTACCCATATTCTACTGTTATGAATAGGCTGACACATGATGGGAAGATTTTTTATTAAAAAAAGGCAGTTGGTGCGCACATGCCTCTGTGTGTGTGCAGATGTCAGTTATTTCTTTGTGGCTGTAGGTCTATACTGGGTTAATCTTGTTGACCGGATGTCTTAACAACTTGACAAAAGCCCTCTTGAAGGGGAGAGTCAGTGTGTGCGGAGCTTGGATCTTCTGTGCATGTCGGGGGGGTCATGGGGATTGGAGGGAATTTGGATTATTATAAAATGCTGTAACGACACCGCCTCCATATTAAATTGATAAACTTGTCCAACAGAATCTTGATACATTTAAAACCACCTACCTGTATGTGATATGTTTGTGTTGCCACTTCTGTCCTGTTAGGGCGTACCGCCGTTTCCTGACACTGAATTTGGCTGCACCACCTATCTGGTCAGGAACACCACATCTGGGCCTCTTCATCCACCTACAGGCAAGACGAGAAGAAGGCCACCAATCAACACTGAAGGTACACGGCTCACTCTGCTATAGGTATCATCAGGAGCTTGATCTACAGTGACGACATGATGACTAGAAAACAATTCTGATCCAATGTCGCTCTTTACACTTATGAACAGGGGTCACGTAAAGCCCTCTGTGCATTTTCTATCATGACAAAAGTATTAGCAGGAGATGGACACACAACACATACATGATAATGCATGAAAGCACCACACTTTACCACAGTTTTTTTTTTAAACACTAAAACACAGCACATGCAATTCCTAATAATTACCACAATGTTAAATAAGACATATTTATTCACATGTTACACACAAAAGACGCCTCACCTTATCGTGTTATCGCTACATCAACAAAGAGAAGCAGAGGAGAGAAGAAAAAAAACAGGTGTACTGTTAGCTTATCACATTTCATTCTGTTTCAGCCCAGTGGTTGGGCAGCTGTTAGTCTGCATTCACACCACTGGCCATGTTACAGTTCAGTGGCCAATTTGAGCTCATTGCTATTTGTATCATGGATGGTATTTCAGCGTTGGCAGGGACGAATGTCAGCGAACACTGTTTTTAGTGATTTGCAGGTAAAAGGATGTCTGGTTAAGGACCCGGGGTTACAACTGGGTAAAATCTGAGCGACACAAACATGTAACTACACATACTGTATATTTCTGATTGGGTTTCATTTCTAATATATCACATAACTAAAATTTAGATTTTTATTGCAAAGTATAATTTGAATATACTTCTTATTTGTAAGCCTCAGGTGGGTTTTCCCTCTACTACATCCATGCGTATGCACAAGAGGCAACATCAGAAACACTCTTCTTGCCACTGTAGTTACAAAACAGTGACTTCTTCCTCTAAACGCATGCCATCCTTGTCTGCTTGTGGCTGCTGCATTCAGGTTTGACTGACTGTACGAGGAGCGACCCAAACGCTGTCCCCGTTCTTCCTTCTCTACCACTGAGTATTACTACTTTGACATTTTGCAGCCTTTGATCTGACAACGGAGGTGTACTCTCTCTAAACGGCCCCTTTGATCAAATTAAAACGGCCCACTTAATCCGTGTCAGGGTAACATTGTGTCTCGCAAAATGACTCTGCTCACCTTCAGAATGCCAAACAGGGGATGAAGGAGAGACCCATCTGGCATTTGTCTCCCATTTTAAAAGATGTCCGGACCACTTTGTGAATCTAATTACTAACTTTTTTTTTAATCATACCTTGTTACTTTACTGAGTTATGTTCACTCCTTTAGTAAAATATCCATCTATGCCTGAGCAATCTGTTAGGACAAATATCTGAGGAGCATGTCTGTCTTTATTTTTTGTTTTTGATATTTCAATACGTAATCAGGCTTATTAATTAGTAGCGTTGTATTGGCCGTCTGTCATTTGTTTCAAAATCTGTAAACTAAATTTCCAAAGTAACACGCCCACAACATTCGTTAATTTATCCATCCTAGTTATCAGCACGCAAGCTCATACAAGAAATAAACATTTACACTACTAAATTAAACATCACTGCTTCTTTGTACCAGCATTTAACTCCTAAAATAGGCTACATGTGCAACTGGCCACGTCTTCCTTTCTGTTCAAATTTTTATAACTCCCAGATGTTTCTTTTTGGAAGAGGAAGAGGAACCTCATCATGAACAAAGCTCAGAACTCAAAGTCCTATATTGTGGTATCTTTAAAGTGTGACTCACTCTATAGTGTTGCTGTCCAGAGTCCCTGTGACATTGAGGCCATAGCGGCGCTGCATGGCAGCGATAGCGGACTGCATGACTCGAGCAGAACGCAGCACTGACATTCTGGGGTCTGCAGAAGGGAGGTAACCATACCTCTGGAGCCATGCCTATGGACAAAAACATGCAGAGAGAAGGAAAGGTGAGACATTGTAGACAGCTGAGAGGCTGATGTCAATGCAAACACTTTAAAAACACAAGGGGTGATTGTACACCAATGATTAAAGGAATTGTTAGACATATTGGGAAATATGCAGAATTTTTCTTACAGAGAGTTAAACAAGAAGACTGATACCACTCACGTCTGCCCACATTATCTGTTAAGCCAGATGATGATTAGCATGTAATGACTGGAAGTGGAGAGGGAGAAAAGCTGGCCCAGGTAATTCCAAAGGTTACAATCCACCTTCCAACAACCTCTTGAACCTCCTGATGACTCTGGGAACTTGGGATGTCACTGTGCAAGGCCAAGAAATAGTCCAGAGCATAACTCTGGCCATCACTTTGTTTTTGTATGAATACAACAAACAAAATGTTGTTAATTAGTGAGCTTTGGAGATGCCAGCAGGCAGATTTTTACTTTTGGACAGGGCCAGGCTAGCTGTCCCCCCCCCCGTTTCCAATTTTGATGTGAAGCTAAGCTAACAAGTTAACTTTGTATTAAGTTTTCAGACACAAGAGTGGTATCTAACTCACAGCAAGAAAGCAAATGAGCATATTTCCCAAAAGGCTGAACTATTCTTTTAATACCTGCCACAGAAGTGCCCTAGAGTAAGGCACCTCTCCAACACCTGGTCCAGCAGAGCGGCTCAGGGCTAACAGTGCTAAGGTGTGAGTTCCCGTGTTGCCGGCTGTGAATTTAAAGTATTGTATTTGTGCAAAAGAAGCACTTTAAGCAGACGATATGCTCAGCTGAATTTCTGGGAATAAATTAAGATTAAAAATATTCCCTGTTCCACATGACCTAGAACATCATATAAATGTCATCAAGATATGACTTAATGTGAGTGATTCAGTGATACAAAAGTAAGAAAGACATCAGCAAATAGCAGAGTTAAAGGCACTTTTTTAAAAGATATTTTGGTAAGGAAAAGGGCAGAAGTAGAAAGAGAGAACTCCCTATACGAGTATATAGTGCAGAAAGTCATCTGTTATCATTTCATTTGGCTTGTCAGGGAAAGGCTTTGGTGTAATAGAGCTTTCAGTGTCCCTATAAAATCCTGCCAGAGGGAATCACAGCTCAGATCTTTGGACCAGGGAGAAGAGGGGGGATCGGCTGGGCTTCCCCACCGTAGAGGCTTTAGGGATTTGGACAGTCCCAGCCTCTCTGTATCCTCTCAGTCTTCATCATAAAAATGGTAAACAGATTTGCCAACTGCTGTATTTAGCAACACAAAGCCAACCAACCAATAAAAAACTAATTGTATTGTTGAAGTGGGGGGAAACAACACAATAACACTGGCCTAGAATCTCAAAGACCCAATGAACTCAAAACTGTCAGGCTGCGCATTTGCCTCAAACCTTTTTTTTTTTTTTAATTCTTCTTTCAGCAGCACTGTGCTGTGAAACCTGAGCGCTATTCTCGTACACAATGTTGTCGAGCTGTCTCAGTCATTATGGAGGCCTGCTGCTTAGGATAGCATACACACTGAGAATGAATTTCACTAAACAGGGAGCATGGTGTGAGAGTGAGTGAGGAGAATGCAAAAAAGGCAAACCATTATTCAACAATGGAACAAATGTGAGTCTACAGCTTCTGAGCCTCGTGTCAGGCTCCAAGCAGCAACAATGAGCTCTTCAGAAACACATTGGATGGGTTCTTTATAGATATTCATAAAGTGCTACACATTGGGAAACAGTAAACAATAAAAGATGGCAATCGATGTGATTTTTGGTTGTTGTGAACTACAGTTATATTGAGCTTGGGGACAATAAGTTATTGAGTAACATTTCATTTCTGACAGTGTACACATACGCCAGAAAGATGCCCAGGCGCCTGAGCACTGTGTATTTATTTGGCAATGGCAAATGGTTGACCACTGATTCCACAAAACAGATGCTTGTTAACTGTAAAAACATCAAGTTGTGGTTGTACGGGGGGATTCTGTGCCAGATTATTTCTTGCCCAGTCGTAATGTAATAAAACCACAACTTGTTGTTTTTTGGCTTTTTGTCCGATCTTAAACAAACTAAATAGTAAGTTGGTAATTTGAGTTGGTGCAGTGCTGGTAGACAGATTTTGTTACTGTTTGACAGAGCCAGGGGAGTTTCCTCCTGTTTCCAGTCTTTATGCTAAGCTATGCTAACTGGCTTCTGGCTCCAGCTTCATTCTTATTAGAACTATATGGTGTGTGGTGTCAAACTTCTCATCTAACTCTCAATTTAAGAGCTGTAACACCTCCTTAACAATATGGGACAGAGAATATATATATATATATATATATATATATTTAAAGTATTTTGGGCTTTTTATTGCCTTTATGATCGAGACAGCTGAAGATAGACAGGAAAGGGGGGCAGAGAGAAGGGATGACACGCATTAATTCCAATTAAGTGCAACCAGTCGGTGAACTTGTAGCAGGTCAGCTGCACATGAAAAAATGTAGAATTTGTCTATAGACAAGCGTACAATTAAAAATATATAGAGAGGTTTCAAGTAGGAAATTAATTCTGAATACAGTGCATACAGTATTTAATTGGGTTTAATAGGAGCGACTCTCAAGGAAACTCAACCCAATTAACTACATCCATGTGCCTGAGGTTTGTCTCCACATTCCCTATACTTAGTACCAAATTACATTAGTTTTTCTGGGAAATTTCTCAAGAAATGATTGATATCTCAATTCTACAATAACTAAATCCAATATTGAATCCTATATCACAACAAATATAACAAAATGCACTAATAAATAAATATTTTAGGTCTTTGAGGCCTCTGCTAAAAGGGATAAACAAAGAGGAACCTACAGTATCTCAGCCAGACTTCCTCTTTGTCCTATCTGTGCTGTGATTGGCACACTGACAAATCCCTGCTGCTCTGCCTACCTGCTTCCTGTCTCCTGAGGACTATAGGTAGGCACATGCACAGAACCACACTCTGCCACAAAGACTTATCATGCCCAACTCTCATCAGTGTGGCAGATGTCAAAATGTTATGCACGTGTCATGATTCTCACAGAGCTTCCTCACATGTCATTCTTTCTTCCACCTTTACATGCCTTTATGTCCTTTATTTTCCATCTTCCTCTGCTGGGTGCTCTTGTCTATTTCACTCAGAGATAATAGTGAAAATGTTATGATGTGTGTCAGGTTTTTACACTCTGGATAGACCTCTGGGGAGAGAGGTGCATGGGTGAGGTTTCCATTCAGCTGCTCAGCTACTGAAACTACAGCTCCGTAATCTGACACAGGCATGCACACACATACGCACGGGCTCGGACAAAGACACGGACACACACTCACGAAACACTTGCAAACACTCACTTGAGCGCCGACAAACGCACTAAAGCCACTGATGACACTGACAGAGAGCTCAGCCATGAAAAAAAACACGACAGAAATACTACAACCACACATGCCGCACACACACATACACCAACGCAGACAAGCAAATCTCTCCAAAACACACCCATATGCTTAGTTTTAATCTGTCATGGTGAAGTAAATTGCAATGCATGAGGTAAAATTCACAATTTTCTAAAAGTGAAAGTAAGGATTTGAAAGCATAAACTATGATTTAGGTTAGAAAGGCACAAAGGATTGATTGACCCTGTGTTAGAAACTGCCAAGTCTGGTTTGAGATGTTTTTGAGCTGCTTCCCCCACCCCCCCGAGAGTTAAAATAGTGCCATAAATACCAGCATGCAAAGCTGAAAGGCAACACGGCAAACATTACAAGTACAGAGCAGTTATTACAGACGTTCAAATTTTATTTTTAACTTTCCAAATCAGAGTCGAAAGCTTTCAGGACTTTAAAGCTCTTTCAGTTCTACAATGGTAAATTTGATTATACCTCCAGCAGCATTTACATTTTATATATTCACGCGCAATTACAGGCATGCTGAACAATCATCTTTACAGCGCCATCATAAAGCTTAATTCACTCAAATCTCATTAACCAGCGGGTATCACAAGCATCACGCACGCTGTAAGGTCTCTCCCTAGCTCTCTCCTTTCCTCTGCCGTGTCACTCTCTGCCGCCGTTCCTCTGTCTCCTAATGTCTACTTTCCCTCTTCTTGTCCTGTAATCATCTCTGTCTGTCCCTCACATCTTCTCTCCGACACTGCAGGCGACCGCACTCGGCTCTGTCTTACAACCACTGGCCCGGCGAATAACCTGCTGCTTTTGGGGTGAAACATGGAAAAAAAAAGTCTACAGTTTACACGTGGCACTGCACATTTAGCCAAAGAAAAACCCAATTGCTATGAGGCTGTTTTTCCCCTGCAGCCTTACAATACTGTACAACCTGTTTGTGTCGGCAGGGAAACACGAGCTTCAGAACATCAGATGGGTTTTGAAAACAGCAACATATAGAAACTGCATTAATGACTTATGACGGGAACGTGTGTACAGATTCAACTGGTTAGATGTTTTGAAACCCTGCTCAGAATGTAAGAAGTGTATGAAATGTATTTGCAGAATGAAAAACAGGACTATTATGTAAATGAGAAGCTGTGAAGAAAACAAGACTTGAGTTTTTTCAAGAGGTGTTGGCAGTAAGTATTAAGTGAGGCGGTGTGATGTGTTTGGGCTCCCAGACAATGCAGCCATTATCAGATACAGAGATGTATTAGAAAAGAGGGGACAGAGTAAGAGAAAGACGACACTGCTGTTAGATATGTCTGTCACTCAGACGCTGACAGGATATTGGATGGTGTGTGAGGGTGTGGGTCTGCATGCAGGAGGTGTTCAGTGTCCTAGAAGAGATGGGGAGACACAGGCAGGATGTGGAGGGTGTAAGCTGTCACACCGGTTCAGACAGCACAATAAATGAATCTAGCAGAAAAGAGCAAATTTTGCACGCTGACAGCGAGCACATCATTCTGTGTGTCTTCTTTAGCAACATTTTGCAGATTGAACAAAATGGGGCTGCTGATGCAGAGATGGATGT